GCCGTGCGCACCCAGCAGAGGCGGGGCGGAGCGTGACGTCACGGGCGCGCCAGCGTTCCGGCTCCGCCTTGCCGCGCGGCCCTGTGGGCGCTGTAGTCGGCGGCGGGCGGGGTGGTAGACGCGCCGAGCGTAGTAGCGTGGGGGTCGCGCGGTTCCGGCTCTGACGAGCCCCTGCAGCCGCTGGGGCGCGCTGGGGCCCTGCTCGGAAAGCACGGCCGATCTCGCCCCGCCCTAGCCAAGTGCTTCATTCCACCTGCAGCTCGGTGACCTTGGCCAGTCCCGGATCAGTTCGAGGGCTGCAGGCTGCCGCACGGGACCTGGGCAGCGCCGAGTTGGGTCCACGGCGACGATGCCCGCCGGCTCAGTTAGGGGCCCGGGGCCCAAAGGCCGCGCTTCCCTCGAGCCGTCTGCCCGCACCCCCGAGCCGATCAGGCCGCCTCTCACCACCTTGCCAGGCGCTTCCGGCCTCGCGGGCCCCCGGGTCCAGGCCAGAGTGCTGGGCCGCTGCCTGGACCCACCTCTTGGGGGCCCTATCCATCACCAGCAAGCCCAAGATACATCATGTCCTTGGACCCAGGCAAGAGGGACCCTGACTGGTCCCTACGCTCCAAACACACGGAGACAGGAGACGTGTGCCCAGGCCTTCGTTCCATGCGTTACCGGTCCCAGATGGCGGCCGAGCTTGGCATTGCCCTGTGTGGTCCGCCGCCTCCAAGTACGCCCTCTCCTGAGTCTGCCGGTGTTTCTTTGCCTCCCTGTCTCCCTGCCACAGCTGCTAATCCTGACCCATTCACGCCAGACAGAATGCGCTCGAGTGATCAAATATACCCTCTGCTAAAAGCCCTCCAGAAGCTCCGCCTTATCAGCAAAAAAAAGGAGTTTCCTCACCCCCCCGCCCTAAGGTCTCCAGTGATCCTGCCACTGAAGGAGGTTTGAGAGAGTGGGTCGGAATGCCGCCAAGCCCCGACTCCTTGTCTCCTTGGGCACTCCATAGTGGGCAAGGTCTCAGGCTATCCCTCCCCACACCTGCACCCTATGAACCTGAATCAGATACCTGCCTTCTCTCACAATCCCTGTGCTTCCCCCCTCTTGGCACATTGTCATGGGATTGGGATTCATGACTGTCACCAATATCCCCCAAAAGGAAACTCCTTAAGGGGCAGGGGAAGACAAGGGAGTGCCTTCCTCACGCACCAGAGTCCAGGATCAAAAGGCTGGACTCACAGCACTCCAGTATTTGCTAAGTGAATGAATGACATAATAATGGCCGTTTGTCCAGCAGTTATACACTAACCCTGCTGCCTGCTGCTATCTCATCTCAGTCCACATAATGGCTCTGGAGATAGGTACCATTAGCCCCTATTTGATGAATGAGAAACTCACGTTCATAGATGGTAAGGTATTTGTCCAAAGCCACCCCATAGAGGCAGAGCCCAGGTCCCAGCTCAGGTGTGACTTGGGTTCTAATAGAGCACTCAATGATACAATCCGTAGTTACTCTGGGGACTGGGACAGGGGAGGCCTCTCTCAGGAGTTGAACTGGGCTATCCCATCTCAGTACAAAGGGCTTACAGCAGTGCCACACTGGGCAACAGGGGAAGCTCAGCATGTCCCAGGACCCCTCAAAGTTATTGTGGCTGCAACAAGTAAAAATGGCCGAATCTGACAGGCACAGTGGCACACATGCCTGTACTCCCAGTGGCTGGGGAGGCTGAGACAGAAAGATCATGAGTTCAAAGCCAGCCTCAGCAACAGCTAGTTGCTAAGCAACTCAGTGAGACCCTGTCTCTAAATAAAATATAAAGTAGGGTTGGGTATATGGCTTACTGGTCGAGTTTCCCTGAGTTCAATCCCCAGTACCAAAAAAAAAAAAATCTATTGTTTGTAAACTCCCAGTTTGTGGTAATTTTTTTAGAGCAACACAAATGGATTAAGACTCACGCTAAGGAAAAATTAACACGAAATTAAGGAGAAAAATACTAAGGAATAAGATTTTGTCTTGTATAGTTGAGCTTTGGAGAGCAACAAAACATAACTAGTTAATTTCTCCCCCTAAGAATCAATTTTTACACCTTGAGGGATGGATTAGAGCTCTCCAGAGAAACACTAGTAGGTTGGAGAGATATTTTGTGACAAAGAACTGGCACATGTAATATGGAGGCCACAAGTCCCCAAATCTGCAGTGGAGACCAGTAGAAACTAGGTGTAGCTCCAGTCAGGCCAACAGGCTTGAGGCCCAGGAAGAGCCAGCAGGACAGAGGAGTTCCCTCTTTCTCAGGTTTCAGTGGAGGTTTGCAGTTCTGGGGATCCAACCAGGGCCTCCTGCAACCCCAGTGCTCTCAGTTCTTTTGTTCTAATGAGGCTTTCGGCAGGTTGAAGAAGACCCTCCACCATGTGGCTTTACTCAGTCAGCCAATTCTGATGTTCTCATCCCAAAACCCTCACATCACATCCAGAATAATGTTTGAACGAATGTTTGACACTCTCTGGCCCAGTCAAGTTGACACATTAAAAAAATAATAATAATAATAACCACCAAAGGGAGAATACAAGACAGGAAGAGAGGGGATTGTGCATGTTCTAAGAATTAAATTTATTGTGGTGCACATCTATAATCCCATCAACTCTTGAGGCTGAAGCCAGCGGATCACAAGTTCACAAGACCAGCCTTAGCAAAGTGGCAAGATCTAGTCTCAAAACAAAATAAAAATGCTGATGATGTAACTTAGTGGGTTCACCCCTGGGTTCAATCTCTGTACTTCAAAAAAAAAAAGAAAAAAAAAAGAGAGAAACTTCTTCTGGCAGGAGTGTGGGAGGTCCCGTGAAATCCTGCATGGAGTAGGCAATCAGAGCAGCAGCCTCATGACTCTGGAAGGCTCTTAGAACTCACTTTCAGAAAAAGGCTGCATATAGTGGATACTTTTATAAAATTGCAGTTGTATTACTTCCATGTGCAATAAATATTATTAATCAAGATATAAATGTGTATGGGCACAAGATGCACTTAAAAGGAAAATCAGATAAGTTAACTATCCCACAATTCATAGCCCCAAATCTATAATACATACAGCACTAAAAACTGCATGACAACTTGAATAAAAAGATGGAAGGTGGGTAAATGAAGTTGAGATTCTCACATTTTCATGAAAGCAATAAATGTATTAGACAAAAAAAATAAGGATATATGTTGTAATCTCAAAGATAATGGCTGAACGATTAGTTTCAAAAAACTAAAGAGGGGCTGGGGCTGTAGCTCAGTGGTAGAGCACTTGCTTAGCACATGTGAGGCACTAGGAGCAATCCTTAGCACCACATAAATATAAATAAGTAAATAAACAAAAGGTATTGTGTCTACAACTAAATATATATATATATATATATAATATATATATATATTTTTTAATACTTATTTTTAGTTTTCGGCGGACACAACATCTTTGTTTGTATGTGGTGCTGAGGATCGAACCCAGCGCAGCGCGCATGCCAGGCGAGCGCGCTACCGTTTGAGCCACATCCCCAGCCCCTAAAAATATATATATATTAAAAAAAAAAACTTGGGCTGGGATTGTGGCTCAGCGGTAGAGCGCTCGCCTAGCATGCGCGAGGCCATGGGTTCGATCTTTAGTACCACATAAAAATAAAAGTATTGTGTCCAACTACAACTAAAAAATAATATTAAAAAAGAAAAACTAAATGTGTTTTTGTGTTAGGAGAGAACAAAGGAAAAAATATTTCTTGAACCCAGGACCTGCCACATGCTAGGCAAACACTTTGCCACTGAGTCACATCCCAGTCCAAAGTGAGGAATACTAAATGATCTGGTAATAAAGAAGGAAGAAAGCATGAAACAGGCATGTCAACAACATAGCAAAGAGCAGACTGTAAATCTACTAATGATTAAAACAAACTATAAGTGAGTAACACTCCAATGGAAACAGTAACATCGTCCAAATGGATTTCAAAAATAAAACTTAGAGGCTGGGGATGTGGCTCAAGTGGTAGCATGCTCTCCTGACATGCGTGCGGCCCAGGTTCGATCCTCAGCACCACATACAAACAAAGATGTGTTTGCCAAAAACTGAAAAATAAATATTAAAATTCTCTCTCTCTCTCTCTCTCTCTAAAAATATAAATAAATAAATAAAACAGCAAACACACTTTACATTAGATATAACAAAAAATATAAGGGCACAGAAATTTTAAAAAGTTGAAAAAGATATACAAAACAAATATTTAAAAAATCATGAACAAAAGACTTAAAGGAAGAATCAGTAGAAAGTGCTCACTTTTGTGGCACATACACTAAAATATGTACAATACAGAGAAGATTAGCATGTTCCCTGTGTAAGGAAATTGGCAAATTGGTGAAGCATCCCATAGTTTTAAAAAACAAACAAGAACTTCTGAGAATACCCAGCACCCTCCAGGCAAGACCCTCTTTGTTGTCCTCTCCAGAGATTAAACCTGAAGTTACAGTTGTCCATCAGTGTGAAATAGAGGCTGGGAATCAGGAGTCTGCTCCTTTTTTTTTTTTTTTTTAAATATTTATTTTTTAGTTGTAGATGGACACAACACCTTTATTTTAGTTGTTTATTTTTGTATGTGGTGCTGAGGATCGGATGGAACCCAGGGCCTCGTACGTGGGAGGCGACTGCTCTAATGCTGAGCCACAATCCCAAGGAGTCTGCTTCTTAAGAGATTTTGCCAAATACTCCTTATTTTATTGCTCCCTTGACCCCAGTTCCAGAGTTAGCTGGTCCTGCCAATTCTTGAGCATTTTGAGGACTCTGCAGGGTAAATTGGGCTGTTTTCCAGATTTCCACATGGAATGCTTGTTCAGGTCCACTACAGCACCTACCTTTCAGGTATCTGCTTTTCGGCTTTCAAAACTTGCTGCTGAGCCAGGCACAGTGGAGCGTACCTGTCAACTCAGCTACTCCAGAGGCTGTGGCAGAAGGATTGCAAGTGGGGCACAAAAGCAACACCATCTCAAGAACATTAAAAGTTTGCTGCTGTTGCCTATTTTATTTTTCCAACTATGTAGATTTATGCTTTTATTATTATTTATTTATTTATTTTGGCATTACTGGGGATGGAACCCAGAGCCTCACACGTTAGGCAAGCACTCTACTGCTGAGTCCATCCCTAGCTCTCTTATTATTTTGAGACCAAGTGTCACTAAATTGCCTCGGCTGGTCTAGAACTTGTTATCCTTCTGCCTCAGCCTCTGGAGGCACTGGGATTACAGATGTGTGCCACTGCACCCACCCCAATGCAGTTCTAAACAATACAAAAATAGACTACAAAATAAACAGCTATGAAAACAGAAGTGGAAGTAATGCAGACCATAAGAATCTCGACGTTTGAAAATTTGCAATGATAACATGTCTTCTGACATGATACAACAGGGAGTATAGTATCATCTGGGAAGGGGTTTTGTTTTGTTTTTTTGGTTGTATTTGGTAGTGGAGATTGAATCAAGGGGTACTTTACCACTAAGCCACATCCTCAATCCTTTGTATTTTTTATTTTGAGACAGGTTTTTACTAAGTTTCCCAGGTGGCCTTGAAATTGCAATCCTCCTGCCCCAGCCTCCCAGTAGCTGGGATTATTGGCATGCACTAACATATCCAGTTCCTTGGAAATGATTCTTGCCCAGAATGTTGGGCCTGCATCTGATCAATTCCATTTTTTTCTTTAATTGTAGATGGACACGATACTTTTATTTATTTGTTTTTTTATATGGTGCATACCTTTATTTATTTATTTTTTTGTATGGTGCTGGGGATCAAACCCAGTGCCTCACGTATGCTAGGCAAGCATTCTACTACTGAGCCACAACCCCAGACCCCCTTAATTTTATTTTTATGTAGTGCTGAGGATCGAACCCAGTGCCTCAGGCAAGCTAGGTGAGCACTCTTCCTCTGAGCCACAACCCCAGCCCCACCAATTTCCATTTTATAGGAAATAAAGGACACTGAAAAAATTAAATAAAATAGTCATTAGGTAAAAATACAAGAAGACCCTCTACAAGACAATTTGCCTAAAAAGTCAGTATTATAAAAAGGAAGGAAAATTGTGAATTCTGGGTTAAAAGAGATTAAAGAGGAGCTGGGTGTATGGCTCAGTGGTAGAGTAACCCTGGGTTCAACCCCCAGGACCACAATAAATACATGTGTACATAAAGGTTTCTGGACAAAATTTGAAAATGGAGATGAAATGGGTATTTCCGAGAATATAGTTTTCCAAGGTGACCTCATTTACAGATAGAAAATTTAAACAATGCCTACAGAGAAAAACAGAAAGTATCGACTAAGGAATCAATAGGAAACATTAATCTAAGATTTTACCAAATTGTACCAAAGTTTCAAAGATTAAATAGTCTAGCTCCTCTGTAAACTGTACAGAAAAGGAAACGGAAACTTCTTGTTTTCTTTTTGTACATTTTTTTAATTGAAGGAAAATTGATATAAAATAAATTGCATATGTTTAAAGATTTTTTTCTTTCTTTCAGTACTAGAATTGAATTCAGGGTTTTTTTGGTTGTTATTTTTTGGGGGGAGGGGTTGACCAGGGATTGAATCCACGGGCACTCTGCCACTGAACCACAGCCCAGCCCTATTCTGTATTTTACTTAGAGACAGGGTCTCACTGAGTTGCTTAGCGCCTCACCCACTGCTGAGGCTGGCTTTGAACTTGAGATCCCCCTATTTCAGCCTCCCAAGCCTCTGGAATTACAGATGTGCACCACCGTGCCTGCATGAATTCAGGGTTTTATATATGCCAGGCATTTGCTCTACCACTGAGCTACCCACCTCCCCCAGTCACTTTTAGTTTTTGAGACAGGTTCTTGCTAAATTGCACAGGCTGGCCTTGAACTTATGATTCTCCTGCCTCCCCGGGGGATTTTAAGTGCAAGCTACTAGTCACAGCCTAAAGCATGGGATCTTATAAAGTACATCACCATCATCAAGACAGCAAACACATCCTTCACTCTCTAAACTTCTGCTCCTTTGTGAAGCCTCCCTTTTCATCCCTGTCCCCCACACTCACTGGCCCCAGGTAACTGCTAATCTGCTTTTTGTAACTAGACTTATTTTATGTTTTGGGGGATTGAACCTAGGGCCTCACACATGATGGGCAAGCACTCTACCACTGAGTACAACCCTAGCCCTAGAATTTCTATAAGAATAGAATTATGCGGTATATGCTCTTTCTTATTTCAATAAGCATAATTATTTGAGATTCGTTAGATGTTATTGCATATATCAAAAGGGTTTTTTTGGTTTGTTTTTGCTTTTTGTGGTAGTACTGGGGGTTGAACTGAGGGCCTAGTACCATACTAGGCAAGTAGTCTTCTACTGAGCATTTCCTGTGAGCAGCCGACATTTTTTTTTTTAGTTGTCAATAGATTTTTAACTTTGTTTATTCATATGTGGTGCTGAGGATAGAACCCAGGGCCTCACACATGCTAGGCAATTGCTCTACCACTGAGCCACAACTCCAGTCCCAGCAGCTGACTTTCAATGGATCCCCCCCCCCTTTTTTTTTTTAAGTTGTAGATAGACACAATACCTTTATTTTATTTGTCTATTTTTATGTGATGCTGGGGATCGAATCCAGTGCCTCATACGTGCTAGGCAAGCACTCTATCACTGAGCCACAATCCTAGGCCCCAGACCCCTTGGGCAGCTTTTGTTCTTGAGACAGGATCATGCTAAATTGCCCACTGGCCTGGAACTTGTGATCCTCCTGCCTTAGCACCTGAGTAGCTGGAATGACAAGCACGTACCAAAGCTAGGTGCTGTAGTATATATCTGAATTCCCAGCAACTTAGAAGAATGAGGCAGGAAGGTTGCAAATTCAAGGCCAGCCTGGGCAACTTATCTCCAAATAAAAAAATAAAAGGGGGCTAGAGATGCAGCTCAGTTGGTAGGTAGAGTGCTTGCCTCTCAGGCACAAGACCCTAGGTTCTAATCCCCAGCACCACCTAAGTAAATAAATAAATAAAAGGAATTGGGGACCTAGCTCAGTGGTAGAGTACCTCCAGGTTTATAATTCCCAGCCTCACAGAAAAGCAAAACCAAATATACCACTAAACCCAGCTGACTAACTTTTTATTGCTGAGTCATACTCCACATATGGATGTTCCACAGTCACTCATGGGAAATTTGGTTTGTTTTCAGTTTGGGCTTATTACAAAGCTGGTGTGAAGGTTCATGTAGAAGTCCTCTCATTTCTCTTGGGCAGTCACTTAGGAGTAGTCATATGGTTACATTGTAGGTGTAAAGCAAACTGCAAACTGTTATCACTTTACATTCCCATCCCTGTGAGTTTTAGTGGCTCCAGGTCTTTCTCAACACTTGGTATGATCAGCATTGCTAACTGGGTGGGTGTAAAATGTGTGATGATATCCTACTCTAATTTTAATCTGCAATTCCCTAATGACTGATGATTTTGCCCATTGCCATGTTTTATTCACTTGTGATGCTGGGGATCAAATCCAGGGTCTTGAGCTACATGCCCAGTCTCTACATACTTGTGATCCTCCTGTGTCTGCTTCCTGAGCTGTTGAGATTACAGGTGTGCGCCACTGCGCCTAGCTAGCATTTCATTTTGTATCATTATTTTTTGCAGTACTGGGGATTGAACCTAGGGATCCTCTCCCACTGTGCTGCACTCCAGCCTGTGTGTGTACTCATTAGGTCTTTCTACTTATGTTATTAAGATGCCTTTACTTCATTTTCCAGTGGGATGTGATCTCTCTTATGCTAACTGTTCTGGCTAGAGCTTTCAGCACTGTGAGGGCACAGGGAAGCATCTTTGTCTTGCCCCTGATCCAGGGGAAGCTTTCAACATTCCACCACCGAAGGTTTTCTTTTACCACTGAGCCACAACCACAGCCCCAAACTCCAGGTTTTCAATGGGATGATGCATTCCTGGGGCAAGCCCCACTTGGTCATGTGTAGAATGCTATTTTTGTTGGTCCCCCGGCCCCCAGGCTTTCCTTTTGCAGGACTGGGTTTTGACTCCAGGTTCTTACATATACTAGGGATTCTACCACTGAGCCACGCCCCCAGCGTTTTTGACAAGGTCTCATTGCAGAGACTGACCTTGAATTTGCAACCCTCCTGTTTCGGCCTCCACCACAGCTGGGATTACAGGTATGTGTCATCAAGCCCAGCCATATAATGCTTTTAATATGCTAATGAATTTGGCTAGCTAGTATTTCCGTTGTATGTATACACACGTATATGAATATATATAATTCACAAGATTCTTCCGTGCAGTGTCTTCATGTGTCTTTTTATCAGTACTGCCGACCTCAGAGTGAGTTAGGAAGTGTTCCCTCCACTTTTCTTTGCAGAGGGAGGTCAAGAGATT